ATAAATGTAAGCTAACTTTGCATCAACATGATTTTGTGTGATTCAGAACAATAAAACAACAAGCATCAATGCAGACAGTGTGAACTTTTATATATAATATATAATTATAGCGCAATACAGTAGGTAGTCTAAAAAACACATCGCTTTTATATGTTCAGTGTTCTAACCATGTTAGAGTTAAAATATATTATATTCTATGACTGCGCCAAAACCACTGCTACCAGTCATACATAACAATTATTAAAAAATAATTCAAATCGGAGCTAAATACATTGACAATGTTTTTATAAACCACTTGTGTTATGAAAACAAAACTTACAGTAAGCTTTTTGGACGGTTAAGCTACTATATTATTATAATATAATTGTACAGGGTGATCCATCTGGTTGGAGACGCTCATTTTTTTGGAAAATATAAAATGTTTGAAAATAATTTTTTCCCATAATTTTAGGTGCTTGTATATTTTACTATAGTTTTCAATACTTAAAGAATTTTTTTTAAATAATTTTATATGGCTTTTAATCCATAGTAATGTAGACAAAAAACTACATAACATGTGTCTCACATAAGATGGATCATCCGGTATAATGTTTATTTAGAGTATCTGCGGTATGGATGAAAACTTTTATCATAAACAAAGCAGCAAGAAACTATGAAAAAATTGTTTTTTTATTTAAAATTACGACTACGTTCAACCTCTACGAACATTTTGTTTGTCCGTATATTGACAATACAGTAAAATAAAAGCATGTTTTGCACCGCAGCGTTGTTAGTTTATTTACAAAGATGTTTTTTAGCATCGATGCCAAGCTAGTATTCGTATGTAGTGTTTTTTTTTTTTTTTGTATCTGCAAACACGATACCATGTTTTTTTATGGCCCGGTTTTCATTAGATACTCAAAATATATTTGATTGGGTGACTTTAGTGGGTAAAAAGTAGAAAATATCTACTTAACCACACACAGAACCGAGAAAAACCTAAAAAAAACGGTCAGTTTTTTAACTTATAACGTTATCTATCTTTAACAGCGAAAACCTATGGAATTGAGTTCAAATTGTAATAGAATGTTTATCAGGCATGTCCCTATTCTCAAATATAATAATAAAATTAATCTATTTCTGTTTGAATGCGTACTTACAACTTTTAAAGTCTGATAGTATTACTTACATATGGACTTGATGATTAATGAAACTGGAATAGTTGATTAAATGTTATCGAAGGTCTAATGCGCGAAAATAAATAAAAATTATAAAAACATATTGAAAGTATACAGTTTTACCATTTTTGAAATCTTGGTAGTATTACTTACTTAAAAAAACTGCAACGATATTCAAACCGGCTGCGGCAAAGGTTTTCTTACGACTTGTTGAATGGACTTTATTGTGTCGACCAAAAATATAATAGCATCTAGGTATGTTTTTCAAAATTGTTTATGAGAATTTATTTACACAGCAACATTAGATATTTACATTAATCTGAAGCGGAGTATAACTTATGCATATACATTCAAAAACAAAGCAGAAAAAAAAAATATTTTTTTTTTTAAATTAAAATTATGACTGCGTTTTACTTCCAAGTACATTTTGCTTGGTCGTATTTCGGCAATACGGTAAAATAAAAACATATATTGAAGCGCAACGTTGTTAGATTATTTACAAAGCTGTTTTTTAGAGTCGATGCCGAGCTTGTATTCCTACGATGTGTGTTTTTTTTTGTTTCTGCAAACACGATACTATGTTTTACTATGACCTGATTTACTTTAGGTATCTGAAATTATATGTGATTTGGTAACTTTTTTTTGCGGCTTGTCGAATGGCAATGTATGATGTCGATCTTACAATGCAAAGTAAATATGTTTTTCAGAATTGTTTACGCGGATTTATTAACATAGGCAACACGGTCATTTTTCGTTCTTACCAAAATATTTACATTATTCCGAAACCGAGTTAAATTTTTTACTAACAAGATATTGAATTTAAAAAACATAAACCAACGTTGAGGCGATGGGGCATATTAGACTCGGGGAGTACAATGTATGAATCACTTTATTTTCAATACATTTTTTTTAAAAAAACGTGTTAGGTATTTGATTTTATAGGTTTCTCCGATAATAACAATACTACAATTAACATATAAACTGTCGAATCGAGTCAAAATTGTAATAGAATGTTTATCAGTCATGTCCCTATAGACAAATAACCTAAAATCCAAATTTCAATTATTCTGCACCTCCTCCCCTTGGATTTAATTTTTTTTAAATAGTATACGAGTATGGTATAAAAATTGATTTTAAAAAAAAGTCTTATAGTATTACTTACTTAATGATGGCCTTGATGTATAATGAAATAGGACTAGTGGATTAAATGTTATCGAATGTCTGTATACTGAAAAATATGAAAATTAGAAAAACATATTGAAAAGGTACAAATTTACTATTAATAAAATTTTGATAATATTACTTACTTAACCAATTGCAATGATAGTTAAACCGACTGCATCTATGTTTTATTGGCGACTTGTGGAATAGAATTTGTTATGTCTATCGAAACAATGCAATGTAAATATGTTTTTCAGATTTGTTTTTGCGAATACTATTAACATAAGCAACATAGTCATTTATTTGTTGACAAACATATTTACATTATTCCTAAGCGTAGTTTAAACGTTTCATATCCAGTTATTGATTTTAAAATAAAACTATGTGTCATGATATTTAAAATCATAAAACAAAAGTTATGCCCGGTGGGGCATATTAGGCTCGATAAGTAATAGGTATGAATCACTTGGATACTTAGATTACTTTTTAGAAGGGTATATTAATTTTCTTACATTGGAACATCAGTTATTTTTAAATAATGTAATATGTAATTTGCGAAAAGTTTAAAGTTTTAAGAATCGATTTCAGACAGACGGAATAGGCAACCAAACACATAGGGCCCATAGCACGTAGATATTGTTAACTAATTAAGATAAATCACCCGGTATGATGTTTTTTTAGAGAATGTGTGGTATGGATGAAAACTTTTATCATAAACATAGCAGCAAGAAACTACAAGCTAAAAAACCCAAAAAATAAAAAAACTTGCACCCCTCCACCACCCCTAGGGAGATAGGAAATGGGTATAATTTAAATTTGAGACTACTGACGTGTGGATGCATGCTAGATAAATATTTCTTATACATTTCAACCAGATCCGACTCTTTTTAATGTTTGTCGATAGTACTATGTTTGAAGAACAATTCATATAAATTTGGAACATTTTCAACTATTTTTAAAAAAGTTATAGAGCATCGTAAATTTAAGTTGAAAAATTTGTACATTTTTTAGGTGTTTTTCTCGATTTTAAAGGGGAATTTTAAATGGTGATTTTTTTTAATTTTTGACATGATAAAGTACCTTCTAGGTTTGATTTCTGATCAATAGAGTTGCTACACGAAGAAATCGGTTCAGCGGTTTACGAGGTATCGAGGGTCCAGACACAAAAATGAAATAAAATAAAAACAATCATTGAAAAAACAATACCTGCTCAGATCCGCATCGAAGCTAAAAATTTAATTAAATTCAAATACTAGTACTTGAGTATCAAAGCTTAAAAGTATCATTCTTAATAGTTCTACGTAAAATTGTTGTAATGATTTGATAAACAAGTTTTAAAATTTCAGGTGTTTTGGGTTAAAGAATACGAAATTCGGGGAAAACACAGTTATCGACAATTAAAGAAAAACTGTAGTCCCGAATTTTTTCTTCGTTGAATATGTTATAGATACATATGAGTTCTAACAACTGATATATTTTGAACTTAAAGGTCCTAAAATTACGGCTAAAAAATCCAAAAAATAAAAAACTTGCACCCCCCTCCCACCGCCCCTAGGGAGATGGGAAATAGGTATAATTTAAATTTGAAACTACTGAGGATGCATGCTAAATAAATATTCCTCATAAATTTTAAGTCGATCTGACTCTTTTTCTCGACATTATAGCCAGTAAAAGTTCAAACTTTAAAACTCGTATGGATTTTTTTTTTTGTTTTTTTCAAATTTTATCTGTGAAGAAATAAACATTTTCCACTTTTACCCCCTCACCCCCCCCCCAAAAAAAAAATTACCAACTAGATAAAATTTGTGTTTTAATAGTGTAGTAATTAGAAGGAATTGGTCCAATATTCATAAAGTTACAGTTTATACAGACAAAACAAGTGCTACAAGTCATACACAACAATGCTAAAAACAATTCAAATCTAAGCTAAATACATAAAAATACGATAATATTTGCACAAACCACTTGTATTAGGCCGACGACATTTAGCACAGTAGACTCCGTTTTATGGACTCACGGTTAATCTACTGTATTATAATATTCATTACAGGTTGATCTATCTGGTGTAAGACACTCATTTCCATAGAAACTGCTTTTTTACGTACAAGGGATGAAAGTAAAATAGTGTCTTACATTAGGCGGATAACCCAGAGCAATATAAAAATGCTTCCTTTTTATTTTTTCACCAAAAAATTCATTTATATTGATGATTAATACAAATTTACTTCCATAAAATGTATATTTTCTTTAATTCGTTGTCCGGTAGCTTGGAATTAAAAATATTTTTTTTGTCAAACATGGCTAAAACGATGTTTCTAATTGTTTGTTAAGGAACACCCAAAAAAAATTCTATAACAAACACAATAGTTCTTATAAACTTCAATATTGGCCTGTTGATATCCTAGGACAATAAGCAGTCTAGTGAGAGTCTATCATACTTCTCCTCGTAGGTAAACAATCTAGGCCATAAAACCTAAACCCGGTCAAAATAAAAGGTACGCAATAATAACAACAATAATTCTTAAGCAACAAAATATGTGTTTATAATCGTGAACAAAACCGTTTATTTAAGAAAAAAAATTACATTAATCGTCAATTCGGGTGTTAGTGCAACATGCAAACATTATTTTTTTTTAGTTTATAATTATAAAGAAATATAAATTTGATTACTAAACTAAAATGTCAACGTTCCACAAATCGTGGAATAATGGAACTGTCGCGTAACTGTACTTTTAATTCTTGTATTTTACTATTGATGTTATTGACATATACTTGATAATACACTCTCCCAAATGCTCTGTATTGGACTAAATTATAGTTTTCATCTTTTACTACACAAATCTCTTCATCACCTGTAGTATATTCTATAGTATATTCCATCATTGAAGACGTTATTAGACTAAGCCACAATGCTATAAAAACACAAATTCCATTAACAGGCAAGTTTTCAGCTAAAAAAAAGAAAATGGTTGTTGAAAATTGCAAAATTTATCTTACTAGTTACTATTTTTCTTTTTAGTGCAAGACTCAAAATATGCTAAACGTAAATAAAACAAGTAATACAATTATATATAATTCTTAGGAAAGAAAAAATCTCAGCTTTTTGTCAAAATCATGTTTTTTTTTTTTTGTGTGTGTATCAAAGACATTATTACTAAGTTTATAATTTATAAAGATGTTTAATTGTGTTCTCCAAAGTAATAGAATTTTTAAAAAAAAGTTTTAGAAAGCTGAAAAATTGTATAATTAATGTGTAAATTTCAGATTGGTGTCCCCGTAAACAAGCTTAGAAAAACAAAAAAAAGAGGTAATAATTCATAGAAAAATAAAAAGAAGCTACCACAGAAGAAGCTACCACAGTAATCAAAAATGTTGAAATAATTATGAGTAAAAACAAGTTAATTTTGAGTGGTCGATTACTATTTGGGGATAATTATTTTTAAAGTTATCTGTCTATCCCAGAACAGAAGCAAGGGAAAATTAATTTAAAACTTATTATCCAAAACTAGTTATCGGCCAGTAAACATTCCCAGAATATTATTCTTATTGCTATAGCTCGAGAAGAAAATTTAAATATTTATTATTGAAAAATAACAAAGCTACAAACTTTTAATTAGTTGAAAACACATTGATCGTGTTATTTATAATGAATAATCCTTTATAATAAATAATTCAGATTTTAATTATAATCTGCAAGCATTACTCTACGGCATTCCAATTCCCTACCTTAGTTTTTAAACTTAAGTAAAACTACTTAAAAATTAATTATCCAAAACTAGTTCTCGACCAATAAACGTTTTCAGCAAATTATTCTTGTTGTTAGATCTCTACAAGAAAATTTAAATGAGTAATATTGTAAAATAAACAAAACTAACGTGTCACAAAAAAGAAAAACCGCAAATTTTCGATTAGTTTAAAAAAAATTGATCTTGTTATTTATAATGAATAATCTTTTAAAAAATATATGTTATTTAAAGAGAAAAAAAATTAAAACTATATTTATAATAATCACCTAATTTTTGGGTAAGTACATTTATAATAGCTTTTCCAGTAAGTTCTCTTCTCGCATTTCCAAGTTCGGTCAATTTTTCAATTTCATCACCTGCATACATTTATTTATGAATAACTGGTTTGAAAAAATAATACTTATTAATACATTCATATTTATATTGTCATTTTAAAATTTAACGTCCTAATGAGTACTAACAGAGTGGGAAGAAACGTGAAAAGATATAGTTATTAGAATATCATGTTCATTGATAGAGCCTAAGAGGGGTGTTTAAATAGAATAGAGATCTGTGTTGGTCTAAAGATCAGTCAAGATAGGAAATTAAGGAAAATGCGGGAACCAATGTATTCGTAAAGAGGTTGCTGTATTTTTATGACAAAAGCGAAAAGTGCTAAAAGTGTATTCTGTATTTACTCAATTATTATCTGGACGTTTGTTTGGTAAGGGTGCCAAACGACTACTTTATAATCGAAAACTATTAAAAGATTTCTTCCCAACTTAAAGTTTACTTAATTCAAATTATTGAGAGAACAAAAGTATATATAAAGCAAATTTTATCATTTAAAAAAGCCAAAAGTTCTATATACTACTAACTTGTTTTGTAAATTTCTTTGTCTAAATCCTCATTATCATCATTACCTGTAACAAAAATATAAACCAATTAAATACACAAAGTTGATCAAACCCAGTTGTTATATTTATCCATAACAGTCACTCTTAAAATGATATTAATTTTCCCAATAAAAGCAAAATCAGGTATTAACATATAGCTGATAGCTTTTAAGGCCCTAAGCTATCGTATTTAAGTGATCTTTAGTATAGTAAAATCATTAGTAATTCGTTAATAGATGAACTCGTTTGAGTGGAATATCGTGGATAAAGTAATCGTGTAGGAGCGTAGTACGGTTCCTGGAAAATGTCAAAATATGACATTTTTGAACATGCAATGGTAGACATTGGAGACGGGCCCGCTCAAGAAATAAATTAAGCTTTTAATGAGTTGATGAAGTGAGAAGAGGACAAAGGTGCCCCCTACTCTCCACCCGCCACAAGAGATCTGAGGAGATAGTAGAAGTATCAAAAACCGCTTTGTGAGCTTAATTGCATTGTTAAAAATTGATACACACCGTTCACAATATCACCCCAAATACAATAGTCATAACATGTTAATTGTTAATATTATCTCAAGTAAACAGCATAATGAGAGACGAAGACAGTAGTGATGTTAATGGCACAGATACTTTCGGCGCTATCAGGTCCAGCAGATTCAGCATAAACACCCAGGCATTTTAATCACCTAGGATGGCAATAGCACGGAGGGAATTAAAACTAGGAAAATCGCAAAAAATTACTATGCTCTAAGAAAATGAGTATCCATATGAGAAATCTATTAGTTTAAGTGTTAAACGTCCAAGAACAACGGTAACCAATAAAATGATTAAAGTTGCCGGACTGAGAACCTACAGGGAACTAAAGAGACTGGCCGATAACAGGGAAGAGAAGAAGGATTATGCAAGAATGGTTTAAAACTATTCTTAGGGTTGATTACTAAAGAAGAAAATATGTTATTATGTTTCCCAACTAAAAGTTTACTTTATTGTAATTATTGTATGAACAAAAGAATATATAAAGCAAATTGTATCTCTCAAACAAGCCATAAGTTCTATTTACTACTACGAATAACTTTGAAATTACTTGAGGTTGTAGCAACAGGCATAGCAGTACCTGTAACGAAAATATAAAAGACTTGTACGGTTACTTAAACCCGGTTGTCATATTTATTCATAAATCTAAAATACCGATTACTTTGACCAACTATTCAATACAAAATTTAACATTAACATAAAATTATTCTCTAGTAACTTTTGAATGAATGCATTCTTTACACTGAGTTTTATAATAATCTAATTTTCGATGGTAATTTATTTTGTCCTAGGTATGTCTTTAGTTAGCTTCTGCATTCAAGTGTTGTATAAGCTTGCTTTAACAAGCTAAACTTTTTGTATTATAATGTATTTTCTCTTATTAGCTTAAATTATTTTGACCGTTTGTGTCTAATTAGTAATTAATGAAATAGGTTTTTATCATAAAAATAAAGAGTGAATTCAATTCGAATTAATTAATTGTCAATTTTGAAAATTGTAATACTAAAAACTTGAATAATTTTTAATTTACTTATTGTCTATATATTGTCTGTTGCAAATAGGTTTGTGTCGATATGGAATCTAAATTTCAAAATAAAAAAAAATTGTATGTACATATTTTCTTGTAATAGAAACCAACATTGTGCATATAATTCGGTGTGAAACATTATAACTATTAAATTTGAAATATATAAAAGTGGTAATTGTTTACCTTGTAGGCTTTGAAAGTCTCGAGTACCTGCATCTTCTGAAATTAAAGCAATAATGTTGTATACTTAATGATTATCAAAAATATGTGTGGAAATATTTCCAAAAAATGCGATTAAAATTATTACCCGGTACAGTGAACATAAAATTAATATCATCTGAAATTAGAAAAACATAATTTAATGGCCTTGAATTTAATATTCTACTCTATTTTAAACTGGAGTAGAAAACAAAATATGTGTACTAGTAATTCAGAACAAAATATTTAGCTCTATTAAATGAAATAAATTCAAATCCTAATGATATTATAATGGCAGAATTTAATCATATGGAGAGTAGAATAAGGTAAAAAAAAGATTTTTACTTCTGAACATTAGCTATAACCCTTTCACTGCCCTGGTCGTGCTATTATACTCCAATCAAATGAAGGAGTACAGGTTACCAGTAAAGTGATGGTTGAGACGTGTAGCAGTGTGTAAAACACAAAGGCAGTGAAAGGGTTAATGATACATTTTTTTTTGTGTTTGTATACATTGCTTCTATTACAGTTTTAGCTTCGATGCAAAGCGAGAAGGTATTGGTTTTACTCTGATGTGTCGGATCGAGTTGAAATGTATAAGAAATAATTATTTGGTATGTCCGCACACGTCAGTTGTGTCAAACTTAAACTATACCCATTTCCCATCCCCCTAGAGGGGGTACAAGTTTTTTTGTTTTTCCGGGTTTTTAGCGGTAATTTTAAAACTTTTGGGTTGAAAATTTGCCAGTAGTTGGAACTCATATGTACCCATAACATATTAAACGGGAAAAAAATTCGGCACTACCATTTTTTTTTATTGCCGGGAAACTGTGTTTTCGCAGATTTCGTATATTTTAACAAAAACACCTAAAATCTTTAAAAAAAATTGATCAAATCATTAAAACAATTTTATGTTTATCTATGCAGAATGATACTATTAGGTTTTGTGCTCAAGTACCACTTTTGACTTTAAGTTTACACAAATTCAATTTTTTTTTTTTTTAACTAAAAACCCGGTGTACTAGATGTGAGAAAAGAACAGACACTAAAAACTATCAGTTGGTAACGTCTATCCGTGTTAGGTTAGGTTAGCACCCTTTGGTCGTTATCATAATATTATTTTTATTACATAATATCACAGACGACTAAATCGTGTAACTGATTATAGTAGACACTCGATTTATTAGGAAAAAAACCTATCCGTGTACTTATTAAGACATTTAATGATTCTGATACGACAAAACCACTGTCGTTATCTCGTTATTTTATAGCCTGCGTTATATAACCTTACCGAAGGTCAACTATGAGTATATAAGGTCCAACTACCTGCAAATAATGAAGAGGACTGTTGTTTATTGGATTCAGATTAAGTGTTAGTTTTTATGCAGTATACCGCCTCAAAATGTTTTTTTTATTACACAATTTTTTTTAAGGAAAACTAATGTTTTGTATGTTGTTATACTGTTATTCATTTAAAGAGATTCACGCTTGATTGTTTAAATTGTCTAATATTAGATAATCTGCTTCGTGCTAATTTTAATTTTTTAGTTTATCAACTTGTAGCTCTAATTTTGTATAAAATATTTCATTATTTTATTACTATGTACAGATTAAGATAAATTTTAATAATAATTAAGTCATAAATGATAATACTTTATTTTATGACTAGATCAAATCTCGTGAACATTTAACATCATGATACTGCTCCTATACTATTATTAAAAAAACACAATTTTTAAAATCAATCGATTAAGTTAGAACTTTTACTGGCTATAATTTCGAGAAAAAGAGTCGGATCGAGTTGAAATTTATAAGGAAAAATTATTTGGTATGCCCGCATACGTCAGTTGTATCAAATTTAAACTATACCCATTTCACACTCCCCTAGGGGGGGTACCAGTTTTGTTGTTTTTCGGGGTTTTTAGCCGTAATTTTAAGACTTTTGGGTTGAAATTTTGCCAGTAGTTGGAACTCATATGTATCCATAACATATTAAACGGAAAAAAAATTCGGCACAACAGTTTTTTTTTAATTGCCAGAAAACAGTGTTTTCGCAGATTGCGTATATTCTAACAAAAACACCTAAAATCTTTAAAAAAAATTTATCAAATCATTAAAACAATTTTATTTATATCTATGCAGGATGATACTATTAAGTTTTGTGCTCAAGTACCACTTTTGACTTTAAGTTTACACAAATTCAATTTTATCACTTTTGTTTATAATAATTTCTGTAGACCTGTGACCTCTCCGTTTCCTCATTGCTTTAATTACATTATGCCAATACTTTACTGTACTAGTCCTCTTGGATAAAATCGCTTTCAAATAAACGCTTTGATGCTCATTTGTAAATACAGAACCTTCATTTAAGACTTTCTAACTTTGCTGGTTTATACTGTGCTTGGTTTGGACTGTACAGGCTGGAAAATACAAACTACCGATTTGCATCGAAGCGTTTTTTCGAAAGTGATTTTATCACTTTCAGATTTAAAAATTCCTGTAAACCTGTGACCTCCCCGTCCCCAATATGCCCCGACCCAACTATGCTCCGTCCTCACTATGCCCCGACCCCACTGAACTGGTTTTTTTTTAATACTAATTTTAACTTGTGCTATTATAAAATTGATACCACAGAAAATCAACATTGGCTTGTGCTTTAATATTTACTTTTAGTCTAATATTTTTCAAAAATTGTATTTATATTTTTAATAAATTAAAAATACGAGATAAAAATAAAGTTTGAACTTTGAGATGTATTTTAAAAATACAAAATTAAAAACTTTGTATCATATATATATAATTTATATATAATTTATTAGGTACATACATGTTTATATTTAAATGACAATTATTATATCTTTTCAAACATGTATCACGACGTGTTTTGAATGGGTTTTTTTTGTGTCTTGTCTACACATTTTTTTTATAAACGTGTTGTTTGGTTTTAAACTTTTCTCCGATAGCAACAACACTTCATTGCTCTCTATTGGAAATATATATATGTAAGCTAACTTTGCATCAACATGTTTTTGTGTGATTCAGAACAATAAAACAACAAGCATCAATGCATACAGTGTGAACTTTTATATATAATATATAATTATAGCGCAATACAGTAGGTAGTTAAAAAACACATCGCTTTTATATGTTCAGTGTTCTAACCATGTTAGAGTTAAAATATATTATATTCTATGACTGCGCCAAAACCACTGCTACCAGTCATACATAACAATTATTAAAAAATAATTCAAATCGGAGCTAATACATTGACAATGTTTTCATAAACCACTTGTGTTATTAAAACAAAACTTACAGTAAGCTTTTTGGACGGTTAAGCTACTATATTATTATAATATAATTATACAGGGTGATCCATCTGGTTGGAGACGCTCATTTTTTTGGAAAATATAAAATGTTTGAAAATAATTTTTTCCCATAATTTTAGGTGCTTGTATATTTTACTATAGTTTTCAATACTTAAAGAATTTTTTTTAAATAATTTTATATGGCTTTTAATCCATAGTAATGTAGACAAAAAACTACATAACATGTGTCTCACATAAGATGGATCATCCGGTATAATGTTTATTTAGAGTATCTGCGGTATGGATGAAAACTTTTATCATAAACAAAGCAGCAAGAAACTATGAAAAAATTGTTTTTTATTTAAAATTACGACTACGTTCAACCTCTACGAACATTTTGTTTGTCCATATATTGACAATACAGTAAAATAAAAGCATGTTTTGCAGCGCAGCGTTGTTAGTTTATTTACAAAGATGTTTTTTAGCATCGATGCCAAGCTAGTATTCGTATGTAGTGTTTTTTTTTTTTGTATCTGCAAACACGATACCATGTTTTTCTATGGCCCAGTTTTCATTAGATACTCAAAATTATATTTGATTGGGTGACTTTAGTGGGTAAAAAGTAGAAAATATCTACTTAATCACACACAGAACCGAGAAAAACCTAAAAAAAACGGTCAGTTTTTTAACTTATAACGTTATCTATCTTTAACAGCGAAAAACTATCGAATTGAGTGCAAATTGTAATAGAATGTTTATCAGGCATGTCCCTATTCTCAAATATAATAATAAAATTCATCTATTTCTGTTTGAATGCGTACTTACAACTTTTAAAGTCTGATAGTATTACTTACATATGGACTTGATGATTAATGAAATTGGAATAGTTGATTAAATGTTATCGAAGGTCTAATGCGCGAAAATAATTAAAAATTATAAAAACATATTGAAAGTATACAGTTTTACCATTTTTGAAATCTTGGTAGTATTACTTACTTAAAAAAACTGCAACGATATTCAAACCGGCTGCGGCAAAGGTTTTCTTACGACTTGTTGAATGGACTTTATTGTGTCGACCAAAAATATAATAGCATCTAGGTATGTTTTTCAAAATTGTTTATGAGAATTTATTTACACAGCAACATTAAATATTTACATTAATCTGAAGCGGAGTATAACTTATGCATATACATTCAAAAACAAAGCAGAAAAAAAAAATATTTTTTTTTTTAAATTAAAATTATGACTGCGTTTTACTTCCAAGTACATTTTGCTTGGTCATATTTCGGCAATACGGTAAAATAAAAACATATATTGAAGCGCAACGTTGTTAGATTATTTACAAAGCTGTTTTTTAGAGTCGATGCCGAGCTTGTATTCCTACGATGTGTGTTTTTTTTTGTTTCTGCAAACACGATACTATGTTTTACTATGACCTGATTTACTTTAGGTATCTGAAATTATATGTGATTTGGTAACTTTTTTTTGCGGCTTGTCGAATGGCAATGTATGATGTCGATCTTACAATGCAAAGTAAATATGTTTTTCAGAATTGTTTACGCGGATTTATTAACATAGGCAACACGGTCATTTTTCGTTCTTACCAAAATATTTACATTATTCCGAAACCGAGTTAAATTTTTTACTAACAAGATATTGAATTTAAAAAACATAAACCAACGTTGAGGCGATGGGGCATATTAGACTCGGGGGAGTACAATGTATGAATCACTTTATTTTCAATACATTTTTTTTAAAAAAACGTGTTAGGTATTTGATTTTATAGGTTTCTCCGATAATAACAATACTACAATTAACATATAAACTGTCGAA